GAACTTCGCGAAGAGGGAGTAGTGCGGCCTTACCCTGCTGAGTGGGATACAGCTCCCTACCCACCGAAATTTAAGGCCCCTACCTTACAACCGTTCGATGGCACAGGCTCGCCAAATCAGCACATTTACTACTTCAAGTCCCAAACTGGGGATGTAGTAGCAAACGACGCCATCCTGACCAGGCTGTTCATCGGTACCCTTAAGGGTGTCGCCTTCGAATGGTTCATGAAATTGCCTGCCGGATCTATCCAGAAATGGGTAGACCTAGAAAGGCTATTCTTGGCCAGGTTCTTTGAGGACGACACGGAGGTCTCGGCTAGATTCTTCGAGGACGACACGGAGGTCTCAGTCCCAACTCTTCTTGCCACTAAGCAAAGGAAAGGAGAGTCCATCAAAACCTATGTGGAGAGATTCCGTAGCATGGCATTACGATGCCCCTCAGGTATGATCCAATCAACTCTGGTTGAAACTTGCAGGCACAACTTGCAGACCCAGCTCCTTGCTCAGATAGGAGTAGCAGAGTGTCGCTCCTGGAGACAATTAGTTTCACAAGGAGAACAAGCTGAAGAGATAGTGGCGCGTGTCAAAGCTGAAGAAGTGCCACAACCCAAGCCAGACCTTGGCGGCCGACTACACGCGAGTTCCACCGCCGAACAAGCAGGGCAAAGCGCCAAATCAGCAAAGAGCGCCCAAGCAGTATTCGTTCAAAGAGGAGCACGTGGATACATTATTCCAATTGCTTCGAAAGAACAACAAACTGCAACTGCCTGAGATCAGGAAGCCGGATGAAGCAGGGAAAGTAGATGACCCCAACTATTGTCGTTATCATAGATTCCTAGGACATCCCACCAAAAAGTGCTATGTATTTAAAGATATCCTGCAGAATTTGGTGAACGCTAATGTGCTCACACTGAAGCCAGAGCAGAAGACCGTATCTACTAATATGATAGCGGTCCAATTTGGTAACTTCCCCCCGGTCGTAACCGCAAACGGTGTTGTACCCATCCGCAAGGGAGAAATGCGCCTGAAGAATGCTGACCTGCATAGTCAGAAGGACAGGGGGTTGGTGCCCCTCACTACCCCAAAAGGGGAAATCATGTGGGTCCACCCTGATCTGCTAGGAGATCAACAATGGATGAACACCCAGTCCAAAAAGAAGGGAGGCAAGGCTAAGTCTTCCAACATGATTAGCCCCTCCATTACTGAAAATGATGACCACCTCAAACCTCTTACTGATTCAGAAGAGGAAAGGATTGTCCTAGCAGCATACCCAGAAGGCAATCCTGGCACTCGATCAGGGAAAGCTTACCTGAGGGATTATGGCCAGAACGCTCCAGAGGTCGAGGAACAGCCCCAAGACACTGGGGGTTCTGTTCCGAAAAAGCCAGTGGACAAAGGAAAACAGAAGGAGCTCCGATTCCACAGAAATCTCCACCAGGAAACTGGAGAGTCGAGCGCTCCCTTCCAATTCAACGTCATGGCGCAGCTGGCCAACATACCGGCCAGGATTACTTTATATGAGCTCCTAAGGTTATCCAAAACTACCAAGGAAGCTCTGATTGAAGCCCTGAAGAATACAGAGAGCTTCATCACCCAAGTCACCCCGGCTCCCGAAGCCTCTGATGATCAAACGTGTCTACAATGTCTGCAAGCGGCGAGGAGTCTACCCTGCATATCGTTCACGCAAGAAGACATGCAGGTCAAACATGAACATGACCGACCACTGTACTACACAGGATATATCGGATCCTCCGAAATCAGTCGTGTTCAAGTTGACCCGGGCTCAGCACTCAGCATCATGCCCTACAGGGTCATGCAGGTCCTAGGGATTCCCATGCACCGGCTGCACACCACCCAGACTACTATTTTCGGGTTCAATGCAAACAGTACCCGACCCCTGGGAAAGATTAAACTCAGATGCCAGATCGGAGATCTCAAGTCTGAGGTAGCATGCTACATCATAGATGCGGACACGTCCTACAACCTTTTGCTAGGACGACCATGGATACATGCAAACCGCATTGTCCCATCTACTTTGCATCAGGTTATGAAGTACGCCAATGACAAGGGCGAAGTCAGAACCTTGATCGCAGAGAAATACCCCTTCCGAGGAGTAGAAAACTTCCACACCGACTCCGTCTTCTATTTGGAATCCCAAGAGAAAGAAGATGTGGACAGCGGTAATGAAGCTGACATCGAGCCAGACCCCGATGAAGATTGTCCTTGGGAGTTAAACTTTGATGTAATGGGTCAGGGTGAGAGTAATAATGATGTACCGAGTGGGGGCGAGTGGTGCATTAATGAAGATTTCATTTTAGCGTACTTGTCTGATGTCTCTCTTAACAATAAACAAATAGAGAATGATTCTAGTGCAGGTACCAACCCATGGCACGTACTGTGCACCGAGGCGTCACTCACCTTACCAATGGAATATCGTCATACGAGTCCGACGTCAGCATTGGACCCTTCTTTAAAAACTTGACTGTGAACATGGTTTCAACCAGTCATCCAGATGAAGACGCAGGGGGTGACGAGGAGTTAATGGAATCGACCGATGATCCTTGGATCAAGCGTCTCAATATCCTGTGGGATATGCGTTTCGAATAACGCGAACCACCCACTAAAGATAAAGTGATCCAAGTCAACATGGGAGATGAGTCTGACCCCAAGCCCATTTTTATAGCCGAAGGCCTATCATCCACCGAGAAGGAAGACCTTATATCTCTCATCCGAGAATATATAGACGTCTTCGCTTGGAACTATGAAGATATGCCAGGTCTTAACCCCTTTAGTTGCCCTCCGATTTGTGTACGAGCTCGACGACCAAATCCAAGCGACACGTTCTCCTTCTCCTTCACTATGTCGAAGGTCAAACCCCGACGGCAGCTCGCATTCAGAAAGTAGGAGAGAGGGTACATCCTCTTCATGCTAGGGAGAAATAAAAAGCGATTATCAACTCTCCGCAGCAGCTTTGAGTCTTCCATACATGTGAAATGATCATTGGCTGGTATGCGATCTCCAAATATGAACGCTGGTTTAGGAAACTGGGCATGACCGACCGGGGTCTCCAAGTCCAAATCAGTTATCAAAATCCTGAGAGTAGAGCATTGAGGGAATTTAATCATTTCCGCTCTCTCAGAATCAGGAAAAGTACACAATGGAATTTGGTTCTGAAGACTGAATAGTTCATTCGCGTCAGGTCCCCCGATGCATCCAAAATGATGCTCTTGTGAAAGCGGCACATTCGGGAAAAGCACTGCACAATCAAAAGCGGAAGTTAACGGCTAGAAACGAGCTATCAACATAAAGACATAGCCTGAAAATAAAGGGTTAAAGGCTCATGTCGAAATCTCCCACGCGAAGTTCGAACCTCGCGTCAGAAGTCTCAAACGCGAAGGTCAACCTCGCGTTGAAAAAACTTGAACGCGAGGGTCGAGACCCACATGGGATCCCAACCCCGCGTTTTCATTGAGTTGAAACGAGTCATCTTCCTCGTTATCAAGAACCCATCTAGGGTTTTCAGAGAACTTGCCAAGGCAAGTTATTTCGGTTGGCACTCACCACGACAGGGAAGCCCCCGCAGCAGCGGTGACGACGACGATGTTTCCGCATGAACAAGAACGCCGCCGGCGTCCTCAGCCGACGGCACTTCGGAAGTCGCTCCGGCGACTTTCTTGGAGTTTGAACCTCTTCTCCGAGGCGCCATCGATGCAGTCGATCGGAGGAAATTCCTTTGAATGAGGGAGACGAAGACCGTCGGAGATCTCACCGGAATCAAACGAGAATTCTCGTTCTTGAAAATAGTCGAAAGTCTTGAAAGTCAAGTGACTTTTGATATGCCCACTCAGGTCTTTTTATACCAGCCGCCAAGCTGTTAAGATGGCATAGGATTCTAGGAATGAATCCCAACCATCTTTCAAAACGCGAAGCTCACATCCGCGTTCAAATTTCCCAAGTGCAAAGCTCAAGCCAACGTCACAAGGCCTGAGCCTCGCGTTTCAAATATTAAACGCGAGGGTCACCTCAGCGTTGCAAATCTTCTAAATGAAGAATATGCAGAGTGTTAATCAAAACCTCTGTATCTCTTCAGCAGAATTCAAATTCTCATTGGGTTAATACTGCACCCCAAAATCCACTTATCAATTCTCAAAAATAGAATGATAAGTCTCCAATTCATTGTCGATTTATTTGCTCTCCTCAGCAAAGCAATAAATAACTTATTCTCAGTAGGGTAATAAACTCCCCCAAAATCTTGATCAAATCACAAGTCTTATAACTCATCACTCCGATGATAAAACATATAGCAGTTCTCCCCTGTGAGACGCTATAATATTCTTTCCCCACAAATGTCACGTTAAAATTACACCTCTGACAAAATCAACTTATCGATTCTCGTCAATAGAACGATAAGTCCTCAAAATTGCCCTGATCGCAATATTTCAAATGTCACGTTAAAATTACACCTCTGACAAAATCAACTTATCGATTCTCGTCAATAGAACGATAAGTCCTCAAAATTGCCCTGATCGCAATATTTCTTCTGTCACGTTAAAATCACACCTCTGACAAAAATCAACTTATCGCTTCTCGTCAATAGAACGATAAGTCTTCAAAATTGCTCCGATCGCAATATCTCTCTTGCTAAGTTAAAACTACACCTCTAGCATTTATAGACTTCTTTCAGTGTTTAAAGCAAAACATAACACAGGAAGAATTCTATTAGTCAACCCTATTATGGGAGTATTCGTCCTCAGCAGTTTGAAACTTTCTAGAGTTGTCTTAAATGATAATAAAGAGAGTTCTCTGCAACAGAACCATTGTGGAGGTATATTCTAAGTCAGGAATACATCTCAGGCATTTCTCGTGACTTGTATTTAAAATCAAAAAATGATAAATGCAAGAAACAATGAGAAGTCAATATCACTTTTTATTCAAGAACCAAAAGAAAGTGATACAAAACAAACTTTGTTCTTGTCAAAAGAACATTACAGAAGCCAAGCTCACTCATGCATTAAATCAAAAGAGATGAGTTGAGCCTTGAGTTCAGCTAGCTCCGCCTCGTGGTTAGCTCGCACCATAGCTTCAGCCTTTGCTCGGAGTTCATCCTCGCTGGGTATGATGATGGCCGCCATTTCCTTTCTGACGTCTTCCAGAGCCTGAGCTTGTGCATGATACTCCAAAGTACTAGCTGCATTCTGGGTACTAAGGATGTTGACAATGCCTTCTTCGCGGGAGAGTTCAGCTTTCAATCGCAGGACTTCGGCTTCAGCTTCAACCAGTCTGTCCCGAAGCGAATTCATAGAAGCAGTTGAGCGTTCTAGTTCTTCTCGCTTCCGAGTGTTACGCTCACGAAGCTCTGCAATCTGACGCTCTTTTTCAGCTAAGTCCCGTTCTAGCGCCTCTCGGTGTATCACTTCAGCGACCTGAAGACTAGCCAAAGTGGACATAATTTGCGGCTGAAGGTCACTATGGCCCATGGTCTCGAAGCGTTGTAATTTCTCCTCCAAACGAAGGATAATCTCTGAGCAGCGTTCGAACCATTGAGTTTCGCCCACACTCCTGACCCCGTTTAAGCCTGCTTCCAGCAGAGGTCGAAAGGAGTTCAAAGTTCCTTGGCCATTCATCAGGGACTCAACTACCGTCTTCGCAAGACTGTTTAGATACACCAAGGAGATTTGAAGGAATTTAGGTGCATTAGCGAGACTGACAATTGCACCTGAAGATACCCCTTCAGCAGCTGAGATGGAGGCGTTAAGATGATGACTAGCAGGCGATCCAGGTGCTGAAGCTGCAGAGGCGATTGAAATGTTCAATTGCGAAGGGCTTGAGGTCAAAGCCATCAATGCTTTCGCTTGAGAAGAGCTAGGCCCAGCCTCCGTTGGGGTGAGTGAGATCTTCATCACCGCTTTTGGTGAAGCAGCTACTACAGAAGAGTCAGGCAGGGGTTGCTCTTGCGTAGGGGCTGATACCTGCACGAGCTGTTGTTCCGGAGGAGGAGTAGCGGCAGTGGTTTCAGGCAACGCTACAGGCGGAACAGTCGCCGTAGGAGAACCAGGTAAATGTTGCTCTTCTAAAGGAGCCGACACTTGCGCAGGTTCTTGCTCTAAAGGAGCAGCGGAAGTAGTCCCGAGAGTGGGTGAACCTGCACGAAAAAACGGTCGGAACGCAGAAAAAGCATGTGGAAGAAGTCGAAACAAACCAAGCTTACCGGTAAGATAAAAAGGAGTATAACCTGATGCTTTATCAGACGGGACCTTGGGAGCATCATCATCAAAAGTGGTGACGTCATCGAGGGAATCATGCTCATCGTCATCTTCACCTTCACCTGACATGTTACCAACATCGGCGTCCTCATCACCTCTATCTTCATCAGCTGCATCACCAGTTGGGGAGTCGTCATAATCAACTCGCTCCTCATCACCCGGAACAGCTGAAGACTCCGGAAGACTTGCACCAGCGGCTGGTCTTTTCATAAGTCCCGTTGTAGGACTAGGCATTAAATCATCAGCTTGTGACATTAATGCTGAAGGAGAAGGAGGTGGATTATCTTCGAGACCCCCTGGCTCCAACGCAGGAGACCTAGGAAGATCCATCACCGGAGCAGATTCTGCATCTGCAACCATTAATTCATCTTCTTCGTCCTCAGGAGGATGATAAGAAGAACCTTCGCCCGACAGAGCTGGACCATGAGAACGAAGTCCCGCTCTATGCGGCAGGCCAGCCACAGATGATTCCTGTGGTTCGTCATCTTTAGCAGCTTTAATGGCCTCAGCCATCAACTTGGATTTTTGTTGGCCTCTGGGGGGAGAATCCACCAGCAACTTTCGACGGATCTGCTTATCATACTGGCCAGCTTCATCAGCAGAAAGTTTTCTTTTCCCCGCTGCTCTTGTCATAGGAGGATCAGCCGCTCGTTGTTCTTCCACTGGAACGGGCTCAGCTCCTTGTTCCTCTTCCTGTTCGGCAGGCTGACTCTCGATGGATAGAAACTCATCGATCCCCCTCAAGCGAGACGTCTTAGACCCCTTTCTTGAATTATACATATGCCTAATGTCCTTCAGGCAAGATGTATTCAAGTTGAAGTTGGGAGTCTGAGAAGCAGCGTAATACCAATTGCAGAAGCTGATGGAGGTATAGGAATTAGCAGTTTTGTGGGGAAGCTTGAAGATGGCTTTGGTACAACCTGCCACAGAATAATACCAAGCCCTGGCTCCTTCATATAAGTTGGCTATAACTGAGAGTTGAGGACGAGGGTTCCCGACATACAACTGATCATACCCAAATTGGCGAGCGAACGGAGGAGGAATAGCGGCAGTAGTTTCAGGCAACGCTACAGGCGGAACAGTCGCCGTAGGAGAACCAGGTAAATGTTGCTCTTCTAAAGGAGCCAACACTTGCGCAGGTTCTTGCTCTAAAGAAGCAGCTGAAGTAGTCCCGAGAGTGGGTGAACCTGCACGAAAAAAACGGTCGGAACGCAGAAAAAGCATGTGCAAGAAGTCGAAACAAACCAAGCTTACCGGTAAGATAGAAAGGAGTATAACCTGATGCTTTATCAGACGGGACCTTGGGAGCATCATCATCAAAAGTGGTGACGTCATCAATGGAATCATTCTCATCGTCATCTTCACCTTCACCTGACATATTGCCAACATCAGCGTCCTCATCACCTCTATCTCTGTCAACTGCATCACCAGCTGGGGAGTCGTCATAGTCAATGGATTCTCTTCAAGACCCCCTGGTTCTAAGGAAGGAGACCTGGGAAGGTCCATCACTGGTGCAGATTCTGCGTCCGCCTCCAATAATTCATCCTCTTGATCCTCAGGAGGATGGTAAGAAGAGGCTTCGCCCGATAAAGCTGGGCCGTGAGAACGAAGGCCAGCTCTATGCGGCAGGCCCGCCACGGACGATTCCTGTTGTTCTTCATTTATAGCAGCTTTGATGGCCTCAGCCATCAACTTGGATTTTGGCTGGTCTTTGGGAGGAGAATCCACCAGAAGTTTTCGTCGAATCTGCTTATCATACTGGCCAACTTCATCAGCAGAAAGTTTTCTTTTCCCAGCTGCTCTTGTCATGGGAGGATCAGCCGCTCGTTGTTCTTCCACTGGAACAGGCTCAGCTCCTTGTTCCTCTTCCTGTTCGGCAGGCTGACTCTCGATGGATAGAAACTCATCGATCCCCCTCAAGCGAGACGTCTTAGACCCCTTTCTTGAATTATACATATGCCTAATGTCCTTCAGGCAAGATGTATTCAAGTTGAAGTTGGGAGTCTGAGAAGCAGCGTAATACCAATTGCAGAAGCTGATGGAGGTATAGGAATTAGCAGTTTTGTGGGGAAGCTTGAAGATGGCTTTGGTACAACCTGCCACAGAATAATACCAAGCCCTGGCTCCTTCATATAAGTTGGCTATAACTGAGAGTTGAGGACGAGGGTTCCCGACATACAACTGATCATACCCAAATTGGCGAGCAAACCTATAGGGTTGGTAAGGCTCGACGAAACAGTTGACGCCTTGCCGAAAGATCAGATAGCCTGGCCTGATGGATAGAAGCCAGTGGAAAACACCCCCGCTCAGCTGAGTGAATCCATTAGGACCTGCCGTATCCTGATATTCTGCTCCATAGACACCGCCCTCGAAATCAGGGAAACAGCGGTAGATATGGAAATTGGAATCCCGCGTTAAGATTTGGCGGATCCTAACCATGTACCCCCCTTCCCATTTCGCGGACTCTAGTCGCTGCACAAATGGGATGAATGAGTCTCCCGGGGGAGAGGCTGCACTCATTATAGGAGGACAGTGGAGCACGTACCAAGCCATCAAATATGTATATGGCATCGGCACCCGGGGATTGGGAGTCTTGAAGGTCTTGTGGCCCTCAGACTCCACCTCTGTAACATCAACAAATTCAGAGGCCAACTCCCGTAATCCGTACTGAAGACAACCCACCATAGCGCTGAGGAGGCTCACAGGTCTCCCGTGTGCCAAGAGAACAGCCGGGTAGACCACCTCAATAGCAAGGGCATCGATCGGCCTGGTAGGAACGACGCAACGTTTGAGCCACAGCATCAAGAATCCAGCTAGCAACGCCGCGTCGGAAATTGGAATCAGAGCTTGATAATGAAAGCTCTCAAACTCTGTGTGAGCCGGGAAAACATCTTCCTTGGCCTCGTTAGTGTAATGGGAGGTAGCGTCGTCAATACGAGCCTGAACCTCCTCCAAAGTACTGGCAGGCAAGCGGGTCACTGAAGCTCCCTTAGTGGTCAAGTTATGGAATAAATATTCCGCCCAAGACACTTGCTTAATACCGCCTCCACGGACCCCCGTCAGCTGCATGCAAATGTGGAAGTGACACATGACTTCCCAGAGAGTGGCATAAATTTCCGGACTGGTCTTCTTTAAAATCTGGAGTTCCGCCGAGCCCGGAACGAACTCTTCATACGGCAAATCCCCGAGAATAAGACCCGAGACTTCGTGCATCTCGTGAAGGGCGAAGCCTAGCTCCCCCACAGGGGTGAAGAAAGTGCAACTATCAGGATTATACTTCTCCAGTATGGAGAAGAAATGAAAGTGGCTCTGGACGATCCCAAATTCAGTAGCCCGCACAGGAACCAGCAACCCAGCTTGAGCGAGGGGAGCTTCTAATTCCTTCAGAACAAACTTGGTCATCTGGGCCCCCCACCCCGCCGATGGAGAATGAACCCAGCCAGGAGTTCTAAATCCTTGCGCAGGGAACTCTCCCTTCTTTTCCAGGAATCTCTTAACGAAGGTCTTTGCCGGACTGGGTGCTTCGCCAAGGGGATACTCCTTAGCAAATAAACTCGGCCGTAAAGCTGTCACCTGCCGATTATAACCAACGGGGCGAACCCCATAGAAAGTCAGAGCTCCTAGAGCAACCCCATCTTGATCCTTAACCAGGGGCCAATCCATACGCCTCGGGACGGAAGCGCATTGGAAATAAGATAGGGGGAACATCCTCTCCATGTTGGGCAAGAAAAGGTTGCGTTCCTCAACTCTCCGCAGCCACTTATAGCCCCCATCATAAGCAGTGCTTGCGTTGAAGTCAACAAAGTCCCCGAAGAGATATCCAGGTTTGGTTATGGGCTTACGGCTTGGGCTTTCAAGTCGAGCGTCCGAAACCAATATCCTAAGAGTGTCGGAAGAAGCTTGGGTGATCAGTTCCATGCGACTCTTCTCCCTCATCCGGAAAACCGGGAGTTCTAAACGCGAGCTGAAAGTTATGTTCATGTCTGCACCACCTTCATGTCCAAAGTGGTGGCGAAAAAGAAGAGGCTCGCTGGTATGGCGCACTGCAAAAAGAAGAAAAGAGTTAGACAACTCAAAATCAAAGTTACAACTCAAAATCAAAGTTCAGACGCGAAGGTCGAACCCCGCGTCAAACAAGTTCAGACGCGAAGGTCGAACCCCGCGTCAAACAAGTTCAGACGCGAAGGTCGAACCCCGCGTCAAACAAGTTCAGACGCGAAGGTCGAACCCCGCGTCAAACAAGCCCAGACGCGAAGGTCGAACCCCGCGTCAGACAATCTCAGACGCGAAGGTCGAGCCTCGCGTCAGAAAAGTTCAGACGCGTGGGTCGACCCTCGCGTCAAAAATCTGAGACGCGGAGGTTAAACCCCTCGTCAAGAAGATTAAACGACGGGGTCCAGCCCCGCGTTATGGGAACGAGTTTCCTCGTTAATTTCAAGATCAGAACTTGCCGGAGCAAGTTTAATGACCACGAAGGTCGTACTCACCACCGATCAAGGGGAGTTGGGGCGTCACATTCGCCTGAGCAGCGGCGCCGCCGGTCGGCGCCGACGGTGCAGATCCTCGAGCCACGGCGGCATCAGGCTTGGAAGCGACGTCGGACTTGGAGGACTTCTTGGGTGCCATGGGATCTCGTTGGAGAAGATGAGCAGTTGCCGCCGTAGAAGAAAACGAAATTTTTTCGTTAAATTTTCAAGAAGAGTCGAATGACTCTTGGTTTGACCCCTAGCGGTCTATTTATAGACAGCTATGAGCTGTCAAATCCTAACGGACGGGATTCGAGGCCATCAGCCCGCCCAAGCTCGACCCTCGCGTTCGAGTTGATTCAGCTTCCAAACGCGATGCTCACCTACGCGTTCCAATTCTCAAATGCAGAAGGCATCTCTGTGTTGAGACCACCATGAACAGCAATTTCTTGGTTACCAAAGCGATCAAAGCCAGGAAGAAACAAACGACTCCACTGGGGAGTCTGTTGGAGGAGTACAGATAGATTACAGTCAACAACGGCGAAATCATCTGACTCGATCAGGCGGGAAGAGCAATCAATCCACCAAATTCTGGGATCCAAAGTATTCCGAAAATTCGTCCCAGTCAACCGCGAACTTTCGAAAACTTTGGAGGGGGTTCTGTAGGCTGTCTAAAAATCACAATAGATAGCTTATTCAAACAAGCTCCGACAACGGAGGTCACAATCAGACGACTTCCCAATCACTGCATCCGCAACTCCACAATTGCCACAAACGCGACCTCACTTCTGAGATGATTGATCTTGATGGCTGTGACAACAGCATGGCTAATATCATAGCAACTCTTAGAGATGCTGATGAGCAGTGGGACGATTTCAGAAATAAAATGTTGGACTCAGTTGGTGAGTTGCTTGGTAGAGAGCTGTGGGCGAATATTCATCTTTAAGACACTATGGATGTTGATTCCCGTCTAGCTCCTACAACGAAAGCTACAATCAAATAGCTTTCGGGTCGATGATCGAAACATATAGTCGAATAGTTGCTTGGTAGAGAGCTATGGGCGAATATTCATCTTTAAGACACTATGGATGTTGATTCCCGTCTAGCTCCTACAACGAAAGCTACAATCAAATAGCTTTCGGGTCGATGATCGAAACATATAGTCGAATAGTTGCTTGGTAGAGAGCTATGGGCGAATATTCATCTTTAAGACACTATGGATGTTGATTCCCGTCTAGCTCCTACAACGAAAACTACAATCAAATAGTTATCGGGTCGGTGAACGAATGTTGCGAATGGAGGGCTTTTCACATAGATCGAGAAGAGTTACAATTCAACGACACTTCCGACGACGGATGAAAACTCTATTCAGCAGTCTTCACAATCTACAGTGAAAGTTACAATCTGACGGCTTTCACACCCCACAACAGCTAAAGCCAGGATTACTGAACAACGGTCCTTGCAACGCTCTACAGAAGAAGTTGGTTGGATTCTTTATCATCAAAACCACTCAGGTTTGGTGATTCGGCAACAACAGCAACGAAATCCTTGGAGAGAGGATTTTTGAATCAATCTCAGAAGATCAAATCTGAGAGGATTCTTCGACAACAGAAAAACAGCTTGATCCTTAACCGATTTTTCGGTTCCAACAACTCTATTCACAGAGTTCAAACTCGTTCAGAGTTCTTAAACTCATTCAGAGTTATTCATAAAACTTTCCATGAAAGTTCATCGTTCCCACGAGATAAAGACGGTCGGATCGTCAACGGAGAGCAAGTTCGACGCAATCAATCGAAGGAAGCACTCCATCGCTGCCAAGAAGAACCCAGTTTTAAACAAAAGGGAAAACCAAATTCGTTTTCCTCTCTTTTGTAATCAAATTGTAACCGAGATCAAAGGAATCAAAGTCAAATTTTCTTTATTCTCTTCTTTGCAATTTTCCCTACATACAATTATAAATTAAATTGTTAAACTAATACTTGAGCGAGTGCAAATTAAAATGAACGATTCATGGATGTGGAAGCAAGTTCTTAAAGTGAGAGATAAAATGATATTCAAGTTTGGCAATGCCTCAAATGTGCAAAATATTATCACCAGGTGCTGCTTGGGAGGTAAAATTCAGATATCTTCTATCTATAATGAAATCAAACTTCAAAATGCACCTGTTGTTTGGTCTAGAACAATCTGGGATGGGTGGCTATATCCTAAGCACTCTTTCATCCTTTAGCTTGTTGTTCAATCTAGATTATTAACAAAAGACAGGCTGTATCACTTGAGAATCCTTGACACAAACATTTGTGTGTTGTGCACTTATCAAAATCCAGAAACCTGCAGACATTTTTTCTTTGAATGTGAATTTTCAGCCATGTAGGCTGTCAAAAAATCACAATAGATAGCTGATCCCCATCAAAACACCGATGATGGAAGTTACAATCTGACGACTTCCAGAAGGCTACAATTTGAAGACTTTCACGTAGATCGCTGAAGGTT